AGGTAGGAGTGTATTCACACTTTTCGGCAGCGTTTTGGGCATCTGTGGCTCTGTTTATCAATGCGTTGGCGTTTCGACGTGCTGCAGTGTTTTATTGAGCGGCTAGGAAAGTGTATATCGATCCAGCGTGTTGAGCATGCGTCAGCGTTTTGAGCGTTTCCAAGTAGTTTTGACTTTTCGCGGGCTGTTGCTGCAGCGCTGGCGTACATCAGAATGCTAGATCGATATCTATACTCTGCTGGTCGCTAGAAACACTAGCGTGTTTTCGGAACGCTTGGAACGCAGCATCACCGTTTTGAGTGACTAGGAAATTATAAATGTCGGTAGTGTAAGTACCTAACGCTTTGAACGTCTACAAGCGCGCAGTTTTAGACTGACAGAGTTGCGCATATCTTTGCTTCCAGCATGCTTTCATCGAGGTTTCCTCGATTTCGAACACACTTCATGGCTGCCTCACTGTTCTTAGGGATCGGGTTAATGGGCTACGCAACTCTGAAAGCAGGCCTCACAGCTAAGGTAAGCATACTTCCCCAAGAGGTTTTATGTTGAACATTTTAACGTAACGTTTTTATTATTTCTTCTGGTGAAGTTTGAGTCTTCTGGTGAAAACTGGGAACTGAAAATTTTTGCTAACTTGGCAAAATTTTAGAAATGGCTCTTGGCGCCTCCTCGGTTACTGCATCAAGAAATGGAAGACTTCTTGATGATGAAAGATAGAGAGGCTCGTTTAAAGGCGCTGAAGGAGCAGTAGTTCTTCAGGTCGTTGGGAAGAAGAAAAGGAGAGTCAAACGTTCTTTACTTCTAATACTTCACCGTACTTTTTGTTCTCTAGTCTCGCACACATTGTACAAAGTTAGTTTGCAATTTTGTTGATTTCTTTGATGAATAAAGCTCAAGGCATTCTTGCTTCATTTTTCACGCATGGCATTATATATAAAAGAGGCTCAGGCAGTAATGATTAAACTGTTCCTAGGTTATCCCAAGAAGTGCTCAGTTATGAGCAAAAGTCAGACCCCAGGTGGGGCTCGAACTTACACCTCATGCTTGCCGGGCAACAGGGCCGTTCTTAACTTCTCAGCTCAATGACTCTGGTGCCATAGCCTCAATTTAACGGATGTTTGCCGTTGCATTTCTCTACAAGGTTCCAACACTGGGACCGCTGGACACCTGTGGTGCTTTGTGGAGGGTGTGAAATATGAACCATCTTTAGGCCTCCGACGATGACGGTTCAGTCGTATAGTCAGGCCAGAAAATCCCACCTATCAATCTCAAAGTGCAGATAAAATATTAATTCGAATGGCAACTAATTATTGACATTGTTGTGTCTATACTCAAGCTATCAGTGAGAAGGGAAGAGTCAGTCGGGATGATTAGGACCTTAACTTTGGCCAATATTTTAACAAGGATTCCACGCTTCTGAGGCTGAAGGAGGAGCTTTCGTCAGTTTTTGATTCATTCGGAACACATAAGCTACCCAGAAATCGTTATCGCTAAGGTGGGTGGAGCCAACACATGGTCTGCAGTCGTAGTCGGGGTTAAGTTCAAGTTGCACGTAGATCGCACCATGGCTGCCGACGTGGGGGGGGGGCTGGGTTTAGTGCAACGCCGGCCCATTTCCCACCTAAAGGACTGAAAGGATTGCATCAACCTAGTGTATCAATACGGGATCGATCATGATGAGCCAAATGGTGCACTCAAAGGCTGGATGATAGATGACCTTAACTTCAAAGGGCGGTTGGCACGATAAATCTATAAGACGTGTAACACTAGTACGCTAATACGCCTAGCACGACTGAATTCGGCGCCCTTGAGCAAGCGCTGCGTGGACGCTTTTCCAAGGAAGGTACCCTTATAGCGCCCTATCAAGCTACAACATACCGACCTGGCCGTACCTGCCCGCCCACAAATGTCCGACCGATGCTGATGCTCGTATCGCTTCATTTGCAAAGTACAACATGAAGCGAAGGGATTGATATGAAGCGGCTGCGGTGCTGCATGGATATATGAGTACATACATGCAGCCGTATCTACCGTAGCGGTTATTGGCACGATGCCAACGGAACTCGTCCGAAATTGCTTTCTGAGTCGTGTAGAACAAAGGCTTTCTTCGCAGGTTTTTGACCATTTCACTTCGCTTTTCTTTTTTAGCATCCTTGCCTACCATTTTAGACAGAGCACCTAATTACCGTGTGATATGCCTTTAAGGAATCCTGTTTGTTGTTTGTAACTTTCTTGTTTATATTTAAGGGCTCTACCGGAACTATGCTAGGTCGCAGTCGACACGGCTGGCGACTCTTTCTGCTAGAGGATTCGAGAGGATTTTGATCCGAAATAATAATAAAGCTCTGGGCATGAATTCTTCTCTTCAAGAGAAAGTCTCGAGCATCGCAAGGTGTTGAACTAGTTGAGGGGGTCATGTGGAGAAACCACCACACAACGCCTTTTCTGCATGTCTTCACACCACAACGCCTTTTCTGCATGTCTCCACCCCCTCACCGAGACGCTGATCGCCCAGTGATCCTTTTTTCCCCAACAGCCTAGCTTAAGATAGCGCAGACGAGTAGGGTGTGGTGCCTGGTCTTTTCGCGTAGCTCCTTGCGTACCCCCTCAACCCTAACACCTCAGAATGTTTAAGTTCTTGAAATAAGGTGTATGGCGAAGAAGCTCAATAATGTAAAATGATTGCACACGCTTTACACATTTATTTACAACTATGGAACATGAACTGGTACTACTATAACTTTGAGAGAACATTCGAGACACCGTCCTTCTCCATGATCTTCTCCAGCAGGTCGTCGATATCGGAGGTAAATTTTATATCCATTTCATCCTTAAATTATTACCATCTCTGAATACTGGTGAAAAGCCAAAACTAAAAAAATGCTGCTGCTCTATATCTTGGCGTTGAAGTGGGCGTACCCACGGGGCTTGTTGTGAGTGGGTGGCGGTTGGCTGCTGTGAATATGGGGCAAATGTCATTCTCTACCCAGTCCTGTCAAGGTTTTCTTTCGCTCTCTTATACGCTCTCCATGCCCGAACCATCAGGATTGGAGGGACACGCAGCCCTCGCACTCACGTCTGATGGGTCCGTGGACGCGCCCACCCCCACGCCATGATATGGGCAGTATTACAATCTGGGAAAATTTAGAAAATTCTCAGAACGCGAATGTGTTCGATAAAGTAAATAAGGGACAATGAGTAGTATAAAACTGCTGTTTCATTTGCACAGAGACAGTGCTAAGGCAGCCGCGGAAGGGGGAAATAAGACCAAGTCACACCCCTTTCTTCTTCAATGGGATCAATAAAGTTTACATAATATTCTCGAGGGGAGACAGGGGATCCGAAAGGGGAGTGACGTAGTTTGCCACCGCTCACAAATCACCTAAAGAATTCAGTTCACTGAAATAAGGTACCTTGATCGACTTGTCGATGTGCTCAGCATCACTCCGATTAGCCAGTGGTAGAATAACCCGTCGAATACCAGCACGATGAGCTCCGAGAACTTTCTCCTTGATCCCGCCCACCTGGAAATGCCTTCATTTTTTTATCAAATGTCCACTGATTATCGAGCCATTTTCAAAATTAGGTCCACGGAGCAGGTTTCGCGGCGCACGCGCTCTTTGAGATGTGATCCCGCCCAGACTAAACAAATTCTTCGTTGGTCTTCTGGGCGAACTCAGGCCTGCTACTGTACTTTCGTCGTTTACGCATCACTCCTCACTACAGCATAGTGGAAAAGGGGCCCATAAATGAAGGAAACACAATGGCAGGCCTGACTCCGCCCACATGATGGACGCGAACTGTGCCTTTCATCGGTTCGTGCGCATACGTGAAGTTCTCCTTTTGCAAATCGTTCTTATGCGACTTACCGGAAGGATATGTCCTGTGAGGCTGATTTCTCCGGTGACTGCAGTGTCAGCTCGTACAAGCCTGTTGCTAGCCAGGGAGAAAAGGGCTGCGACTAGAGCGCAACCTGCAGACGGTCCATCCTTGCCCACAGCGCCTGATGGTAAGTGGACGTGAAGGTCAGCACCGTCTAGGTTGTCGGCGTGGAGCCTAAACAGGTCAGGTATGAAGTGAGTTGACTGTAACAGATTAGTACTGTAGAATGTTCATGAAAATATTTGGAAATTACTACTCTATAAAAATAAATCCCGAAAATGTCAATAAGAACGAGAAACATTGGAATGTTTGAGGTCCTTTCATAGGTGTGATAAAAGGCACACTCCGTAGTTACTGCATGGCTGGAGTGAGGAGACGCTTTCTTCATTGGTGCGCACCTCCTTTCAAGAGGTTACAGTATTGTTCGTTGCATGTGGTGCCCGCCCGTTTTCAACTGACTGTGATCACTTGCCCGGCTTCAACTGTTGGTGGAGAACGATCTGGCGCTGCATCAAGCCCACTCCTCTCTGACACGCCTTAGCATCTGCAGCGGACGAGACTGTAGGACGGTGGAGCTCGTCCGAGTGGTTCTCTATCTCCACTCTCGAATGTGCATTTACATAGCTTTTATAGGCAAAGACTCTTCTATAGGTTACCACCTTGTTGCATTGGCCCGAATCCACGTTCGGGCAACGTCCACACTTTCGCGGAGTACATCGCCAAGTTTCCCGGTCATCACAGTTTTTCCTTTGCCGCTGCAGCGATTAGCCTCTGTAAACAGACATCTTAGTGGGATTGATTGACGGTTCAGATAGGTATGAGCATGAGAACTCATCACGGCAGGAAAACTAACCTATGACCATCAGTTCTCCTCCGAATGGTGTCCATGCTAGGCCGAAACATGTACCAAGCCGGAATTTTCCCATCTGCTCGACGAGATCCACTGCCGTGAAACGTTCTTTCTGAAAATCCCAAGATGGATAATTTCTAAGCGCGGAGAAGATGAATTTATGCTCAAGAAGCCGGAACGGGTAGGTCTTGAGTGAGGAGCAACGAAGAGCAGTCGCGTGTGACTTGCTGGTTCCAAGGTTCCAAGTTGCAGTGAGAGTGATAAAGGAGGCGTTCCGAGCGCGGTTGCGTGCGCGGTATTTGAACCAACACTGAATTAATTTGGACAAGCGGTGCTGTAGTGCGTCAAGCCAACGAAGAGCAGTTGCATACGGGTTCCATGTAGCCTGGAAATGTTCTGCCAGATCAAGCCCATAGCGAACCATGCACAAAGGCAATGGTGGGATATGGGTCCTCCGTGTCGTAATAACTTCGT